TCATACGGTTTCACCCACAAACATGCTTTTATCTGCGAACGCCTGATTTCATCCGGTTAGTGCACCCCCGCAAACATCTGCTTTTATCCGCGAACATCTGCAATCACCCGCGAACATCTGCTTTCATCCGCGAACATCTGCAATCATCCGCGAACATCTGCTTTTATCCGCAAACATCTCATTTGATCCGCGAACATCTGCTTTTATCCGCAAACATCTGCTTTCATCCGCGAACATCTGCAGTCACCCGCGAACAACTGCTTTTATCCGCGAACATCTGCAATCACCCGCAAACATCTACTTTTATCCGCAAACATCTGCTTTCATCCGCGAACATCTGTTTTATCCGCGAACATCTCATTTTATCCGCGAACATCTGCAATAATCCGCGAACATCTGCTTTTATCCGCAAACATCTCATTTTATCCGCGAACATCTGCTTTTATCCGCAAACATCTGCTTTCATCCCCAAACATTTGCTTTTATCTGCAAACATCTGATTTTATCCGCAAATATCTGCTTTTATCCGCGAACATCTGCTTTTATCCGCAAACATCTCATTTTATCCGCGAACATCTGCTTTTATCCGAAAACATCTGCTTTCATCCCCAAACATTTGCTTTTATCCGCAAACATCTCATTTTATCCGCGAACATCTGCTTTCATACAGTTTCACCCGTAAACATGCTTTTACCTGCGAACGCCTTATTTCATCCGGTTAGTGCACCCCCGCAAACATCTGCCTTTATCCGTAAACGTCTGATTTTATCTGCAAACATCTGCTTTTATCGGCAAACATCTGATTTTATCCACAAACAACTGATTTTATTCGCAAACATCTGATTTTATCCGCAAACATCTGCTTTTATCCGCAAACATCTGTTAAAATTTTAATCTCCTAACATCTGATTTTATCCACAAACATCTGCTTTTATCCGCAAACATCTGATTTTATCCGCAAACATCTATTTTAATCTGCAAACATCTGATTTTATCCGCAAACATCTGATTTTATCCGCAAACATATGCTTTTATCCGCAAACATCTGATTTTATCCGCAAACATCTGCTTTTATCGGCAAACATCTGCTTTTATCCGCATACATCTGCTTTTATCCGCAAACATCTGCTTTTATCCGCAAACATCTGATTTTATCCGCAAACATCTGATTTTAATCGAAAACATCTGATTTTATCCGCAAACACCTGCATTTATCTGCAAATATCTGCTTTTATCCGCGAATATCTCCAAACATCTGCTTTTAATTGCAAATCTCTGCTTTCATCCGCGTTCGGTTTGCCTGTATTTCCTTTGTCCATTTCGGTCCTGTTTCGTACGCAAACGTCTGGTTTCATTCGCGCTTTTTGTTTTCCTTTTTCTCGTGTATACTTTAGTTAAGTTTACCTGCTTTGTCAAATTTTACTGATCTTTAACTAACTGGTTGTTAGCCGTTCACGGCACACAACTTTATAACTCTAAAAAGAATTATTTGAATAAAAACAACCTGTAAAGGAAATAAGTTTATTCAACACGACTTTTTCCCAATGGGAAAATAATTTAATTATATTCACCAGATTTAAATTTAAAAATCAGGTATACTATAGTGAAGAGTACCACAGAAATAATAAGTCTATTAATTCTTACATATATATTAAAAAATTGGTTATGCCAAAATTAAAAAGTTTTTAAAGTTAGATGAAAAATTCTACGCCTAAATAAGTGTTTTTCAAACAAATTCCATACAAATTGAAGATGTTATAATTCCAAATGTATTTGAAATTAAACATATATGTTTTCTAACAATTAATTTAAATGTAAGCTTAATGATTAAAAAATATCTATTTATGTCCTTTAACAAAGACCTTATTTGTATTTTACCAAATAATATTGAAGTTCAATAAACTTATTTCCTTTACAGGTTGTTTTTATTCAAATAATTACTTTTAGAGATATAAAGTTGTGTGCCAGTTAGTTAAAGCTCAGTAAAATTTTACAAAGCAGTTAAACTAAACTAAAGTATACACGAGAAAAAGGAAAACGGGTACGAAACAGGACCGAAATGGACAAAGGAAATGCAGGCAAACCGAACGCGGATGAAAGCAGAGATTTGCAATTAAAAGCAGATGTTTGGAGATGTTCGCGGATAAAACCAGATATTTGCAAGTAAATGCAGGTGTTTGCGGATAAAATCAGATGTTTGCGATTAAAATCAGATGTTTGCGGATAACATTAGATGTTTGCGGATAAAATCAGATGTTTTCGGATAAAATCAGATGTTTGCGGATAAAATCAGATGTTTGCGGATAAAAGCAGACATTTGCAGATTAAAATAGATGTTTGCGTATAAAATCAGATGTTTGCGGATTAAAACAGATGTTTGTGGATAAAATCAGATGTTTGCGGATAAAAGCAGATGTTTGCGGATAAAATCAGATGTTTGCGTATAAAATCAGATGTTTGCGGATAAAAGCAGATGTTTGGAGATTAAAACAGATGTTTGCGGATAAAAGCAGATGTTTGCGAATAAAATCAGGTTTGCGGATAAAAGCAGATGTTTGCGGATAAAATCAGATGTTTGCGTATAAAATCAGATGTTTGCGTATAAAATCAGATGTTTGCGTATAAAAGCAGATTTGCGGATAAAAGCAGATGTTTTCGGATAAAATTAGATGTTTGCGGATAAAATCAGATGTTTGCGGATAAAATCAGATGTTCGCGGATAAAACCAGATGTTTACGGATAAATGCAGATGTTTGCGGATAACATCAGATGTTTGCAGATAAAATCAGATGTTTGCGGATAAAAGCAGATATTTGCAGATTAAAATAGATGTTTGCGGATAAAACCAGATGTTTTGAGATTAAAACATATGTTTGCGGATAAAAGCAGATGTTTGCGGATAAAAGCAGATGTTTGCAGGTGAAATCTTATGAATCAGACTTTTGCGGACTAAATGAGATGTTTGCGGATTAAAACAGATGTTTGTAGATTAAAATAGATGTTCGCGGATGAAAGTAGATCTTCACGTATAAAAGCAGATGTTTGCAGGTGAAATCGGATAAAGCAGACGTTTGCGGATAAAAGTAGATGTTTGCGGATAAAATCAGATAAAACCGGGTGAATGCAGATATAAACTCAAATACAGGTATTTGCGGATGAAAACAGATAAAAGCAGACATAGATCTAAATAGATAAAACCCGACGTTCGCGGATAATATTTATGCCCGCAATTGCAGATAAAAACCGACATGCCGGGTAAAATCAGATATGTCGGATAAAAACAGATATAAATGGACATAAAACTAGCTTGGTTTTTTATCCTCAATCATCCGATATTACCCGTCTTTTTCAGCAGGGCGACATCAAATTGGTTAACAAAGAATGGCGACTTGATTGAGTGTTGTCGTTTTTACTCGCGTGTTAAATGCGCAGTTCTGTGAAAAAAACACTTATTACTGGGCCTATTTAGCTAACTTTGAAGGGGTAGGTGCTCTTGCTCCAAAATTTTCTCTTATTGGGCAAGTGCACCTACCTTCATGGGGGAAAGTGCGCCCACTTTCCCCGGAGTTAGTTTCGGCCTACGCAGTTACGTATGTTCTTGTTTCTATAGTAAAGGTAATATGCCACCACAGCTATTTTTTTTGTAAAAATATATACATGAGGGTGCACTTGCCCCATATTTTGGGCAAGTGCACCACCACCGGTTAGTTCCCATATTATAAGTATACTTATAATATGGGAACTAACCGGTGGTGGTGCACTTGCCCCAAATATGGGGCAAGTGCACCCACATGTATATATTTTTACAAAAAAAATAGCTGTGGTGGCATATTACCTTTAACGCAGAATTTAGATCTGCCATGAGATACACCACCTTATAAGGGAGTTGTATACATGCCAAAGACTGGACTCTTACCATTGTTGTAAAAAATTTTATTAACTACCCATTAAATTTGTGTTTTGCACTTGGGTGGGTGCATTTACCCCACTTCACCCTAATTACTTTTGACCAAAATTCTACTTTGCTCTCAAGGTGCTGCCATTCAAGTAAAGTAATTTTTTCCATTGACTTTCAATAATTTCGATCATTGTGGGTGGACAGTGGCGTAGCGTGGACTAATATAGACGTGGGCGAAGTCGCATCAGCGAGGCCCCTTTTCTTTCGTTCCCAAGATCTAACCAATAAATCTATCTTACCAAACATGCTTTTACACGACATACCTACTTATGATAGTGAAAAAATATAAATGCGCGGTGGGAGAATATTGAAAAGCATATAGATTTGAAAAAAGGTTTTTGTTTTGTAACTTGAGTAATTTAATTTTTTACTAAAATAATGTTCTTCGGCTTTTTGCTTTACTGAAGTTCTCTAATATGGATTTGTAATTAATTTTTGCAGCTAAATCTGCTTTGATTAAAAGTATTGCTAAACCAGACAGTCGGTCCTGCTTCATATTGTTTCTTAAGTAGTTTTTATTAATTTTTAACTTAAAAAACACAACATAATTCTAATAGCAATGTAAACATTAGGATAATAATTTACATATTTTTTAGGTTTTTATTTAATTTAAAAATAAACGGGGATTTGATGGCATCGCATTTAAAGAGGCCTCGCGAGGCCCATTTAAGTGCGAGGCCGTGGGCGAGGGCCCACTTCGCCTACGCCTAGCTACGCCACTGTGGGTGGATATTTAAAATGTTCTAACAAATTAATTAGCCTATAGGCGCAGTACTGTGTTCAGATTTAAAAAAAGGAGAAATATGTACCTATCCTTTGAATAAAAAACCTTTTTTATTAAAATTTTACTTAAGTAAATCTCTTTGGTTCTCAAGGATTTTAAACAAAATCTTTGTTTGGCTCGATCGATGATTTTTATAGAAATTTTTAAATGAATCTATAGATGGTATCCCCAATCTACCAGATTTAGTGGAAATTCCACCAAGTTGGCAACACTGCTTGCCTGTGCCAAGCAAGAAAAGTGAGAATCGGCTTTTAGTTCAAATATACAATTCTCATAGGATAAAAAAACAACCTCAAACAATTCTAACCTTAAAAGTTTAAAAACACAACATGGAAAAAGGCGAATTACAGTGTAAATTTGGCATTCTTAGCCGACCCGACGGGTCTGTTATGCTTAGTGAAGGTAAAATATACTATTTATACGTTAAACTAAACCCAAGATTGTATATTTTTTTTATTGTAGGGAACACAACCGTTATAGCTGGTATTTACGGGCCAGTAGAAGTAAAAATGCAGAAAGTTTTGATAGAAAAGGCTGCAGTTGAGTGTCATTACAGGCCCAAGTCAGGTCTACCAGGTAATAATTTAAACTATTATACAGTAAAAAGTAGTGTTGGTAATTTTGTTGTTATTAATGTTTAATTTTAGGTGTTGAAGATCGATTCTACGAGTCCATTATAAGAAATATCTGTGAAACTGCCTTAGCAGCAAGTATGTTTCCCAGATCGGCAATATCAGTGGTTATACAGGAAATGCAAAATAGTGGTGAAGTATGTTCAAAAATTTAATTAATATGCAAAATATAATGGTTTTTTTATAGTTGATCTCCTGTGCAATAAATGCAGCTTGTCTAGCTTGTTTGGATTCTGGAATTGACATGAAATGTATGTTTGCTGCAGTTTCATGTTTTTTGGGAGAAAATAACCAGTTAAGTTTGGTGCCACCAGTAAATAGAAAGGAAATAAAAGCAACATTTGTTTTTGTGTTTGACAATATTTGTGGAAAAATTATAGCTTCTCACACTGATGGAAAATTTAGTGAATCTTTGTATGAAGAAGCTTTGTATATTTGTATGAATGAAAGTAAAAATATTTTTAGTTTTTTTAAAAAATCTTTGTTTGAAAGGGAGGAGAAAGGAAAAAAGAAATAAGATTTTTATATATTAAACAATTTTTTAAATAGGTATATAATTCTTTTATTTAACTCCTGAACCAGAAATTACCTTTTAGTAATTAATAAATAATTAATAAAATGATATATGCATTATACTAAAATATATACATTATACTTAACTCATACGGAGCTATGTGAAAAGTGGTTTAGTTTAAAGCATTTTAATAGAAAGTTTGTTTTAGATTATTTATTAGACTATTTACGAAAATGAATGTAAGTAGGTACATTCATCATGCGGCCAAGAACTATGTGACTTATTAATGAATAGTGATACTGAAGAAGAGTTGGGTGATAATGAAAGTGAAGAGATCGAATTTGAAAATAATACAGTTTCAGATAACAAAGACCAACAAGAAAAGAAGAGAAACAGTCTACACTTGTCAAAAATGCAATATTCCTCTTTGTCCCAGTAAGCACACAAACGTCCCTGGGACATCCAAATTTTGTCAAAACAGACCGACGCGACCTGGCCGTTCTAGGGACAGTCAAGTAGGACCACCTTATGCTGGTCATTTACAGGACGCCTAAGGATATCCTACGGATGTCCAATAAAGTTTTATTAAAATCAAATCAAAGAGCATATGACTCCCCAAAAACAATAGTATCATCTTTTTAGTTACTTTTTTATAACAACTTTATACCTTAATTTATACATAAGTATAAAAAGGTAAAAGATAAATTTAAATAATTTCAGGTAATTGTACACTGAGAAAAAAATGGGACAAATAAACTGTTTACCTAATACTTTTATTTGTAGTGAATATATTGTTTATTACCTCTAAATAGTCGAAATAATAACGATAAATGTACTTTAGTAAAACTTTATATGTCGGGAATAAAAATATATTTAGGATAAATAAACTGTACCCTTGTCCCATACTTAATTATATTAAATATTTTTTTTATTTGGGAGCAATAAACTTTTTTCTCCGTGTACGGTGTAGGGTCCAGACTCATTAGGTTCACAGCAAACGGAAAATTATAGAGGTGTATAGGATGACGCCACGTTTGAATATCGTTTTCTAAATCTCCCTACGGTATAGAGTTGTATTCGTCAGTCGAGCGTTTCAATACTCTCCACAGTATAGAGGTCGTAATTTCACTTTTGAACTAGTATTAATATAAAAATTATTTTATGCTTAAAAAAAACTATATACGACATGATTGTGATTTTTTCATTTTATTAATTAATTAAGCTGTGTTGAATATTTTTCCTAAAGGAATAATTGCCAATGGGCCATTAATTCATTTGTTCGTAGATGCTACAATAACCTGCACTGGTGTGTACTTTTTCATCAACCAGATTTAAATATTACAAAACTAACATATACCATTACTAAATTATTAAAGTTTAATAGCATATCGATCATTTTTCAACATAACCTCTGAAATTTTTAATACAAATATAGGTACTTTATATAATACATAAATATACTTAACATCATATCATCTGTGCTTTACATACCTGAGTTGTTACGGTAAATAAAAATCAGACAAAGGAACCAAAGAAAGGAACTATTTTCAACAAAAACATATGCAGAAAGGAGAAAATTCAAACTACTTGCATCCATCAAAAGATCAAAACTTCTTGCAATATTACACCCTCTTTTTATACATTCAGAAATATTGACTAGAACAGTATTAGAGAGACTACATGTAGTCTGCAGTTTCTATAACTTGGTAACTTGGTAGAGTAAAGAGAAGTCGAAACCGTTGCGATATTGCATTGCGCTGTTTTTGTATAATTCTCGGGGACATTAACGAAAATCATTGCCAGTAAAATTCGAAAAGCTTGAGTTTCTATGTCTCTAAGGAGAATAGGAATCCGAAGTTGCTGCACCATTGGACTGAACCCTTTTTTAATAATTTCTAGAGACATAAATGACTGCACCATTCGACAGGGTCGAGTTTTTACCTCTCTGTGGAATATAGAAAATCAAAATAATGTATCTTGTAAGACACCATTGAGTTTGACTTTAAATATAGTCGTGCATAGGTATAGAGCCGAAAAATATAAAAACAAAGCACGATTCAATACAGTTATGATAAAACTTTAAGATTTGATATTCAAACGCGGAGTCATCCTATACACTTCTATAATTTTTCGTTTGCTGTGTTAGTTCCAACCGGCAGTAATTTTCAGTAATATTACGTAATAGTACTATTACACGTGTACGCTTTAAAAAAAGTAAGAATAAAGGAAAAACATATTTAAAAATAAATTATTTTGTATTTTTTTCTATATTTCGTTCAAATTAATTTAAAATACTTTTAAGTCTAAAATAATATTGTGTCAGTAATATTACTACGGTTGGAATGTACCTATTACCGTACGTAATTCCCAACATTCAAATTTTAAGCAAAAAATTCTAAATTTTCAAAATAAATTTACAAAACTTAAGTTAAAAATGTACAAAACTTATGTTAAAAATTTGTATCTGTTTATATTTTTTTAAGTTTCATGGCGCTCACTGACCTCTGGTGGAGTCTTACTAAAGTGCCCTACAATATATTGTAGGGCACTTTAGTAAGACTTTTTTTAATGTAGGTATTTTATTCTTTTATGTTTTTTATGTAGGTATATTGTTGTTATAATTTATTTTCAAATATTTTTATATTTTTTTAATAAGATTAGGTGTTTTCGCGGTGCTAATCCCGAACTAGTTCGGACATCCTAGGCATGCGCATTTTAATATTTTTCATGCGCACTTTACAATTTGAACGCCAAATTTTAAAAAGCGCATACCTAGGTACACGTGTAGTCCATTGCTTTGAAAAATACCACACCACAAAAAGATTTTAGTTTTTGTATTTTATTTGTTGTTTTGTATTTGTTTCTGTTTCATTTGCTTTATATGTAAGAAAATATTTTAATTTTATATTTACGTTTTATAATGGAAAATAAATTTTATTTTGGTACACATTTCTTTTTTTTTAATAAATAGTTATGTAATAGTTATTTGTGAAACAAAAAAAAAACAAAAAATACAATTTACTGAGGGGACCGTACGAAACCGCGCTTGCTGTATAAAAAAACCTGGGTCATAAGAAAGTTAACTACGGGGAACGGACGCATCCGCAAAGGCTTTCTGATGCCGTACGGTGGGCATAGCTATTGAAAACATATGCCGCAACGAAAGGGTTAAAATATATAGTTTAAAAAAAGCAGGTCCTTTTAGTTCTATAGTTTTTTCTATTTTTTTTTGTTTGTCCTTTTTTTCCCCTTATTCCTTATTAAATAAAAACATAACAGTAGAACATTATTCACATAACGAACGTAATATTTCCGTTTTACAGTAGCTATTTTCGCGGAGCTAATCCCGAACTAATTCTGGACATCCTAGCCCAAACAGCACACAGAGGTCCACTGGATATCCTTAGGACGTCAACTCAGGACATAGAGGACGTCCTACGGATATCCGAAGACCACGAATGGACGTCCGTAGACACTTTTGGTTACCCTGTTGTAAATAACCGATTAATTTCTGTAAAAACCAATTGAAGTATTGGTTGGTATCAATGGGTCTGAATTGGACTTACTGGATTTAATTGGGCGCGATATAAAACAGAATTTGGTTTTTACTGGTATTTTCCATGATGGAAAAGTCCAATTAGGATTCTAATGGTTTTTATTGGTTTCGATTGGATAAAGCTACCTATAGGTAATTTCCAATTGAATTCAATTGGGCATTCCCAGTGTAAGATTCGAAAAATCTGCTAATTGGTTATTTCCAATACAATACAAATATCGCAAGAGGGCTCTCGTGTAGCTGCGCAAAATCAACGAGGTTGAGACACCATCATAAAGAAAAAACAGCAAGTCTTTGGACGCCATTTATTAGCGGTTTTTTTTATTAGTCGATTTCAGTGTTAAGTGACTAGTGTTAGTAGTGTACTTATATATTAAAAAAATGTTTATATGTGTAAGAACGATAGCGTAAGAATGTCACAACGGAAAAAATAAAAAAATTTGACATAAACAATATCGACTTCGACCATGCCTACAAATATCCTTTGCAAGAAAGACAACAAAATGATTATAACCGAGTAATTTTATTTATTTTGTATTACTTTTTTGTGATATAGTAAGTTATATTTATCAATACATACATATATATATCACAACAAAAATAATAAAGAAATAAAATTACTCATGAGTAACTCATGAGTACTGCAGTAACAATAAATTTTTGTCTCTTCTGTGAAAAATGAATTCTGGTTTTTACCCGGTTATCCTTCTGGGATCTAAAATTATTTTTGAATGAAAAATAAACTGGTAGTTATTTTCTAATCCAAATTTTAAAAAATTAATTGGTTTTAATTGGTTGGAATGGGTTTGGCGCTATGCATTACCAATTCATTCCATGTGCATTTCTATTGGATTTAGCCAATAGAGACAATTGTCTTAAGCATAGGCATGGATTGGTATTTTCCAATTCAAGCCGCTGACTTCATTGGAAATTACCAATAGGAATTCAACCGGAATGAATTGGTGATTTATAGCGCCAAAACACATTTCAAACCAATTCAAACCAATTACTTATTTTTTATTGGATTCTATTGGTATTTTCCAATTCAAGCCGCTGACTTCATTGGAAATTACCAATAGGAATTCAACTGGAATGAATTGGTGATTCATAGCGCCAAAACACATTTCAAACCAATTCAAACCAATTACTTATTTTTTATTGGATTCTTTCCTATTAAGGTCTATTAAAGACCGTCCTAGGACCAAATGTGGCCATAATTTAGCTGACAGGAATAAAAAATAATATTTATTACATATCCTAAAATTGCTTGACCTAAAAGTTTAGGCATGATAGCCAACCCACATAGTACAAGATGTCCATCTTGTGCTGTGTGTAAAGAGACGTCCTATTTAGGTTATTCTCGGCTTAGCCAGGCCGAACGGGTCTGGGACATCCCCAGACCCGTTCGGCCTGGCTAAGCCGAGAATAACCTAAATAGGATGTCCGTGGGCTATCTTGTGCTATCTGGGAGGTATGCGCTTT